TGATGATCTTGAGATAGTTGTCAAGTCCTAGTATATAGTTTAATATGATGATATTGAGTCATTATTGAGCCATTTTTCAAGCATAATATTTATATTTTGAATTATATTTATGACAAATTTGTTAAATTAAACTTCAAATTGGTAACAGATTAATAAAGCTTTGGCTTGTTTCTGATACCATAGTTTGTTTATCCACTTGTATTTAAAATTTGTAAATCATGTATTGATGAAATCAAATACAATGTAATACAAATATAGGGTCTGTTACATTTAAAAAACTTGAGGATGGTTCAACCCACAACTCATCACTTAGCAGAGGACATCCAACTACTACCAAATAATCTTAGGGTTTTAATCATTTCATTGGTCAATCACTAAAATTAATTTTAAATTGACAGATATCAACCAATCAGATTACTGTATTTCTTAAAGTTTTGATTGTATCTTAGTTCAAATTTTCTGAAACAGCCCTTTAATAAGTATGATATAAATTCAATGAATGGCCATTTTGTAAAGAAACTGAGTGTAAAAATCTCTCAATAATGTTGCCGTGTTGAGGGCACGTCAATCAACTCATATCTGTGATACTTAGAGAGTAAAAAATTCTATAAAAAAACCTCATAAAGTTTTATGTTATCTCTAAACATTTATGAGTAATTTCCATATTTGTTGGGAATATTCAACCATGAGACATCGGCCATAAAAGTGAAATTTTTGTGGTTACTACGGCTAAAATTCATGGGAAAGTAGACTTCATGAATAAATAGTAGCGAACTTGTCAAATTTTACAAACACTTCCACCAATATTTTAAATCTGATTTACATACTTAGTTTTGCAGATGATTATGATGATTTTGAGGAACTTGGCAGACATCTTGATTTTTCGTATCCAAGTCCATCTGAGTCTAAGTTACTACATGGACGTTTCTGATGTGCAAGATAGTCGGCCATTTTTTTAGGCCCATCAATTTCATTACTGAGGGAGGAGTTGCTATAGAAACAACTATTTGCCAACTAAGGAGATTTTTGGTGGGAATTCCATAAAGCTAACAATATTAGTTTAGTATTTTCATAGAACAAATTAAAAATGGTTACAAACGTTAAAATATTTGGACATGTGCTAGATAGACTTTACCAAAAACATTTCTGTTTTTCCACCGTCTGCAAAATGTTTCTCTCTATGCTATGAAATTCGGTGTGCCTCGTGTAACAAAAGTTGCCAAAGTAAATTGATAACATTTATTCGGTATTTTGGCTGCGATGATTTTTACAGGGAAAAACAACTCTCAATCCCCTCAAAATCACATAAACCAACAATGGCCAAGCAAATAAAATACGAAATAAAAAAAAAAAATATGTAAGCCGACACTTTTATGATCTTCTGGTTAGGAATATTAATATAGGTGTATTATTGGTTTAACCTTGACCTCAGATTAACCCCTGGCAGTAGAAATTAGAAGTTAATGTCCCAGTGTGACTGTGAAATTTGGTTGTCCCAGGGTTAAGTTTTGTGGCGAGGACAATAAGAGTATTACACCTATATATTGTTGATCTTTGAGATTATATTATCAAGTCCTAATCAAATCAAATACACGATAGTCAAATTGAGATTTTAAAGGGGTTTTAAAGAAGTTTTCTAAATATTTTAATGTGTATCAGGGACACTGATATCATTGGTTTCCACCATTCCAATCTTCAGTCAGATGTATGTGGTTCTTGCAATTACACTAAAACTAAGCATTTTTGAACTCCACCATCTCAATGGCCCTTTTATGAATTTAAAGTTTTTTAGTGAGAGAGACATCATAAAACGCTTAGTTTTAGTAGAACTGCTTAGTTTTCTGACTGAAAATTTGGATGGTGCAAATTCAATGGTGTTATAAGAAGGTATCTGATTCTAATTCTGAAAAGTGACATGTATGGCCTAATTTGATCTTTATCAGCTGATAAAAGCAAAATTGTAGACAACTATACCCTTTAATTTGAAGACAGCGGGTATTTACTGTTTAAAATAACCTGAGTAAAGTATATTTATACCTAATGAGTTAAATGATCCAAGTAAACGCGAGACATTCTAAAGGGTGTCAGATAAAAAACGAGTTAAAGATGACGGGTGACCTTTTACTCTCGTGCTAATAGTCTACCCTACAGTGTAGGTGTCAAGTGTTCACCACAAAATACCGCTACCCAGGGTGACAGCCTGCTACCCACAATGGCAATTTGATACCCATTTATTTTGACAGCATTATCCCTTATTAGGCTGAATCTGTCAAAACAAACTCCTGGGGTTCATTGATAATTTGTCGTCAATTTGATAATTTGGAACTATGTTTCATGAAAGAGGCTGCAAAAAAAAAAATTGTGGATTCACAAATGCTGCATTCGTACTATCAAAAGCAAAGCCCTTGTGATCACTGAAAATTGAAATTTGCTGTCAATTTGATAATATAGGACTATGTTTCATGAAAGAGGCTGCAATAAAATTTTGGAATCACACTTGATGCATTCGTACAGTCAAAAACAAAAATTTAAATTTGCCGTCAATTTGAACATTCTGGACAATGTTTCATGAAAGCTGAAGCAATGAAATGAATTCTGACAGCTCCCAGGATGCATTTCTGCTGTAAAATGATGGTTCTGAAGTGTTAGGGCCATAGGGACACAGACAGTTGCTGATTTTCACCATTCTGTTTTTTATGTAAGATGTCTGTTCGTGTAATTCCAGAAAAACTTGAAAACAATTATCTAGGATCATATTTTTTGTGATTTTCTAAAAACACAATAACCAAAATTCTTACAAAAATGGGGCTCAAATGCCTTAATTTTAAGGAAAGCCATGTTTAGTGTCACTGAGAACAAGGTACTGGACCACCTGAGTTACTGTTTACACGCATTTTTTATGTTTTGTACAAGAGGATTTGTAATAATAGGTACATAACGTTTGGCTCACTAGAGATTAGCAGACAAACAAACTTAGTCAAATTACATCCAACCTATTGTTCATGTCATGTAGAGCCCTGTAAGGTGTAGGTAAACACGTCTGCTAAATAGGCAGACGGGAAATTTTCGAGATTTACTCAAAATAACTTTTGGTCGTTTCTTTATCTCGAAGATTACTATAAGATTCATGCCTTCAGGTTTGTTTGAAAACAGTGGAGTCTGTATACAATTGGTCTCCTTGAGCCCTCTTCAATAAGGGAGTTGCAGCGTTTTTAAATTTCGAAAGGGTTTTGAAGTTGGGCTCCTTGTGTTATGGTATGCCTTATTTACTTTAATGCCTCTTACTTGAAGTAGCGAACCAAAATTTCTGTATTCAATTGGTCTCCATGAAACCTTCTTCAGTAAGAGAGAAATGGAGTCTAAATTGGTCCATTTTCTGTTTCTGGTGTAAAATACTGAACTCGTAATTGAGAGGATCTCAGGATTTTCATTGGTTGCTATTAGCAACTGGCAGCATCTAGGAGAATCTGATGAATTGCCTGATATATTCTATATTCAATTGGTCCCAACGGAACCTTCTTGAATAAAAATGCAAAAATGTCTACGAATTTTGTTCCCTCATGTTACTGTATGCATTTTTGGATTAAGTTGACTGGGACACACTGACGACAGAAACCCTGCAGATGTAATCAGTAGATGATTTTCATCTAGCAAAAATTGGGTCTTGTCAATATTAGTGGTCTGAATCCGCAACCATCCAGTTGATCAGCCCCTTGTTTATATCTTCTAAGGCATGTATTGTGTATACACAGAGACCCTTGAACTCCCTTGAACAGAAGGTAAACAATCTAAGTAGGCCTTAATAAGATAGCCACTGTCTGAATCAAGTGTTTCCCAACAGGTTTAAACATCTTATAGTAACTGGACACTATGTTTGGTTGGTCAGTTTGAAGTGGTCTGATAGAAGTGGTCAGATAGCTCCAGATCCTTGGGCCTATTTGATATATTGGTTGTATTTGTATAATATACAACTTTAAAGACGGTTCCGTGTATGAAAGACACTCCTGACAAAATTTCCCTCATTGCACACTGCTGCTGGTCCTCAATACTCTAGACACTATGTTTGGTTGGTCAGTTTGAAGCGGTCTGATACAAGTGCTCAGATAGCTGAAGAGAATGACCTTGAGCCTATTAGAAATATTAGGTGTGTTTGATAAACACAAGATGGTTCCCTGTATTAAATGAGAGTAGGCTGAAGAACCTGTCCTAAAAAAATTTCCCTCGTTGCACACTGCATGGCGCTGCCCTTCCTAGTTTAATTGACTTGTGTTTTAGCAAAAGTTTTCATTTGAATTTCTATATAAACAGTTTTCAAGTCAAAAGCAATTCTGAAATATATTTAATACTGTTTAGGTATTTGAAAGAGCTATAGAAAAACAGATTAAGAAAAACAAAATGAATTTCACCTTCACCATTTAGCTGATATAGAGCCAGTAGATGTCTAAATCAAGCCATTTGTAATCCATTCATTGTTTTCTTTCTAGAAAATAGTGTAGTTAAAATTCAACAAGTTCTTCCTAGAAAAAATCGGAACTACTTAACAGGAAATGATCTATCAACGGAAAAAATTAAATTTCCTTTTATTCGTCTTTTAATTTCCTTATAAAGCCACCATTTTTTAGGATTTCTTTTTTTAGTAAAACTATTGAAATTGTTGGCGATTTGGTTTGTTATAAGTGTTAGAAGATACTCTCCTATAGAAGCACTGGCCTAGGTCACAAGTAGAGACTATGGATATCAACATGAAAACTATTTCAATGAAATGCACCAAATCAGTTATATGATGTCTTTAAATAAATGAGTTGATATGCTCAGTTGCAGAGTGTTATCAGGCCTTTATTGTAGAGCAATGCTTCCCATTCAGTTACTGTATTTGAAAATGATATTTGACAATCAGTTACTGACATTTGACAATCAGTTACCACATTTGACAATAAGTTACAGACATTTGACAATCAGTTACCACATTTGACAATCAGTTACAGACATTTGACAATCAGTTACCACATTTGACAATCAGTTACAACGCTTTGACAATCAGTTACAACGCTTTGACAATCAGTAACAACGCTTTGACAATCAGTTACAATGCTTTGACAATCAGTTACAATGCTTTGACAATCAGTTACAAAGCTTTGACAATCAGTTACAATGCTTTGACAATCAGTTACAAAGCTTGGACAATCAGTAACAGATATCTGACATTCTGTTATGGAAGTTCCTCAAGAAGTCTAGTTTTCCTAACCTACCAAGTGTTAAAAAGTCCGTTGTAAGTTTTTATTGGAATTGTTACATTATCAATTATTCACTAAAACAAATACTGGTAGGTGAGAAAAGCTGACTCTGTTTTTTCTTCCGCCCTTGATTTCTATTTCAGTGGTTATCATTGATTTTATTGGCAGCCATTTTTTTTCATTAGCAGCATTTTCTATTTTGGCCAAGTAAAGAACAATAGGATGTATTTATATTAAGGGTTCTGTAACACCGTTGGTTATTGTACATGTTGTCATTTGCTTGGTTATGTCAAACAAATGGTTGTTGTGGGTTGTAATTTTGGTTGGTGACTTGAATTACAGTCCATCTAGTTGTAAATAGTTATAGATAATCTGGGAAAGATCAATATCAAGGCTATGGACCAGCTGGTAGAAAGGATCCTTAGGAACCTAAGTTGTTATCCTTGTAAAATCAATACCAAGAGGTTTGGTCAAGGACCAGCTGATAAAAAGGATCCTTGTGAACCTTAGTTGTTATCCTTTTAAAAAAAACTTTTGTTTCTTTCGTGTTATCTTTATAGTCCTTGGACTCTGTAAACAATGGCTCTTCCCTAGTAATTCTAGAACAGTTTTAAATCGAGGCAAAGATAACGATTTACATAAGTAGTAGAGGTATGCTAATTTGAACTGAAAGGCTTTATCAAGGCGTGAAACAAGTTGTTCTAGCTTACAAAACACTACTTGGTTTACTGTCATACTTATTCAAGTGTAATTATAGAAAGCAAAAATAATCTTGTATTTAACTAATCAAGTTAGGCAAAGAAGGTACACGGTGTTATGGAGAACTTGTTTTAACAGTCGAGTGAAATAGCATTATTTTTCCTCAGAAAATCACTGACTAGAAAATTCTTGGCTTATGTTAATCACTTTGTTTTGGTTTATTGAATTTCTTTAAAGGTATATTTCCCTCTAAATTTGTTAACATTACAAATCATAAATTTCGTACGGTAAATGATTTATCTCCCTTGTTTGAGTAGAATATAACCAATCAAATTCCTTGTTAAAAAGCAGAAATGTTGTCCATGATGGCAGACGGGAACTAATAGTTACAGGTGCAGCCATATTGTTTACAGTCAATCGAGGGCTCTGATTGGTTGTATTCGCTAGCCTACAATTTGATCAAATAACTGCACTTACAACTTCTGTGCCTATTGATCTCAAGGTATTTGACGTAGTTCATAGTCGCTTGACAATGGAATTTATTTGTTACTTTCGTGATACAAGAAAAGTACCGAATGATGTCAAGGTATTAGACATAGTTTGTAGTCGCTTGAGATTGTGCAGATGGCTTTTACCTTGAATCTTGCTGTATATATATAGTTTACAATGACAATAGTATATTCTAAAACATGTTATGGAATATCTGAATCCCAAGGTGTATTTGTTGACCTCACTAACTGCTGATTGGTCACATCTGCAGGATATAAAAACACCTTCAGCTAAATATCTTCTTCGAACTTAATTTTGTACGTTTCTTATAAATAATATGGTCAAATCATTGTGCCGTTTTCTTGTGGATTAATAAGATTTAAGCTATTGTAAATCTCTTTTGAAATTTGAAACAATTTGAATATTTGAAAATTTACATTTTAACTGGGTTCTTTTTTTTTGACTTGGGAGGGGGGTTGTATAAATTTGCCCCTCATGCAACCTCAAAAATGTATTGAGAGTAGCCTAACAGATTTGAGGGAATATGCAACTTTAACTTTCAATTGATAAGTGGTGACCTGTATGAAACTAATTTTGAGGAATATGCAGCTTTAATGTTCAATTTATGATTGCTTTATGAAACTAATTTAAAGAAATAGACAGCTTTACTGTTTATTTTATGAGGGCTTATCTTTAATAAAATTCTTTGAGGGAATATGCAACTTTAAGATACCATTTGAATATGCCAATCATTTAAATCAAGAAAACAAATAAATGTAACTTTACATCATGCACTTTAGAAATCGTATAGTTTGTATTTTTCTTGGCAAAACGTCTGCAAGCATCTGACTATCTATTCACCGCCATCTTGAATCTACTCTCTATCTTGAAAATATGTTCGTGTTTTTATCCTATACTTGACAAAGATACCTGCGATTTCGTTACGAAGAAAAGAAAATATTTTCTTTGATGAAAGTTGAGGTGAATGTGTTTCGTGTCTAAGATTGTTTTCTAACAAACTGAGAATGAAGGGGAGATAATCATGGCTGGTATAAAATGCCAAAATTTATTTTGAGCTCTAGGAGTATTACAGTAATTAATGTTGTTGGTGTATTTCACCCCTAACCAAAAGGGCCCCCATGTCAAAATGGCTCATAGTGTGTTACAAACATAATGTTCAAAATCGTCCCTTTCTAGAAAATTGCTCACTCTTCGAATACACATGACACCACTCCTTCTATTGGTTTGTCAACTCAGCATCCTTTGCAGAGGGTCCACATAACAAGCCATCTAGATGAGATATGTATACTTCCAAACAACTTTCATACCTCTTAAGCATTGAAATTGCCTAGTGGTCAAATATCAAAAATGTCAAGTATCACAAAGAACAATTTCTAGTTTTGTGGATCAAGGGCTGAAAACAAAGAAAGCTCGTAACACCCTTGATAATCAACATGGACAATCGGCAAGTTTCACAAACCGAAATAAAACAGATGATGTTACCTCATTGAAGGGCATCTATATAGATCAGAAAGTATGGGTTATAAGTACACCAAGTTATCTCCCTTGGAATTTCTTAGATCATCAGACGCACTCATAAATATCAAAGGAAAGGGAAAGAGCACTCTCAATATTTTGAGTTGATTTGACAGAAGTTTTGATATTGATAGGATTGAATTAAAAAAGGAATAGACTAGATTGTCAAGTGATTTGAATGATATCATTGAATAAAAGAGTAATAGACCAGAATGTCAAGTGATATGAATTTCGGTTTTTGTTTGAACATAGGTTTTTTATGATTGTAGTTAATGATGAATAGTCTAGATTGTCTAGGGTCTTTGCAATAGCTAATAATAAAACATTTAGTTTTAGTGAAATTGCAGGAACCACAGACATCTGACTGAAAATTGGAATGATGCAAAAAGATGCCAAAAGTGTCCCTGATATATATAAAAAATTAAAAAACTCTTTCCAATGTTTTCAATATATGCTGATAGTTCCAACCAAGTTGAAATATGTTCAATCTAACAATCATTTCAAGTACTGGAACTGAAATTTGAAGAATTTTCTTTAAATCAAATAAATCCAGCCATCTTTATTTACTATGTCATCATCCTAATTGTTTTGGGTGAAATGGCAAATTAGCCAGAGGAACTCTTCACTCTTGGAGTTAGATAAGGTTGATTTATCAGCAGTGCTAATTATATTTCAAATATTTTGACTTTAAAGTGTGTTTAGAATTCCTTATCTTTACCCCTAATTAAAACCCTTTGATATAGTTGGTGTCTAGAAGATGGTGCTTGGTTAATGGTCATCTGTAATAAATGTTCCCTAATTGGGGGTTTTGAGATCAGTGGCATTGGCAGCAAACTTTCGGTAACGAGGAGAGTGCATTGTCAATGGAATGAATGAATGAAAGTGTTAGTCAAGTCATGAATGAATTAAAGGACAAATGAATGAAAGATAGTATTATATTTACTTTGTGAATGAATGAACGAAAGAGTGAAGAAATAAATGAATGAATAGTGAACAATTGAAATGAAATTTATTGAAAGAATTAACTAAATTTTCTTCTTTTCTTTTTCAGGTAAGTTATCATTATGAATTTCTGCTTCAACGAAAAAATTGCCAAGGTCAAGGTCAAACCAAAGGTGAAGGTCAGAAATTGCTTAATTGTAACAACACACATAACACAATATAAAGAAAGTTCTGCTTTTGAAACATGCACTTTGCAGATGAACATTTTTAAAGTAAACTTAACATGTAAAGAGTTTCCATTGAATACAAAAAATTTCAAAGTATACTAAGTAGATTCGCAAATACTCCTCATTCAAGGGGCTCAAAGTGACAGATTCCAATTTTCTCACCGATCTGAGGAAACAAGTTTCTCTATGTACATTAAAAGGATTGTAAAGAGGTTTTCTAGAATATTTAGGTGTATCAGGGACACTGTTAGCACCATCTCAAACACATAGTTTAATTGAAATCGCCGGAACACAGATGTCAGCCCCGTTGTTAGGGTGGGGTTTGTGGGGGCTGGGCCCAAGCAAGTGAGAATTAAGCCCCAGCAAAACCTTTTTCAGTTCAGCAGAGATTGATTCATTTACAGTGTTTTTGTACAAAATCAAAAAGATATAGATTTGGATACGTTTTTGGCACCTCAAAATTGTCAGAAATGAATTCTCTTTGCCTTTAATTCTACATATTTTCTGAGTACAAAATCTGAGCCCCAGCACCAATTCATTCCTGGCGGCGGGGCTGGTCTGACTGAAAATTGGATGCCAATTAATACAAAGTTTTAAAAACTCCTTTACAATCTCTTTAACGGCTCCAAATTCATCAAAAATATTCTCACCATTTTAATCAAACAAGTTTCACAATATACATTAAAATAACATAAAATTTAAATGGTGATGATGATGCATCTAACTGAATCAAATTCTTGAAAATTTTCTCACCAGTGTTAAAGAGAGTACCAGTTTGTCCTACCACATTCTTTATCTAAATAGACATTTAATTGCATCTTTAAATCCTTCAAGCATATAAAGAGCATATTAAAAGGGTTAAGGGGCCATCACATATGATGAAGACATCAATATTAATTACATTAACCCTCCTGGACCACTTGTTTTATTGTTTTATGGTCTATTATAAACAAGAATCAAGAATTCTTGCTGGGTAACAATTTTTCCTTTCCTGTGAAATTTAGTGACTTAAATTTTTGTGTAGCCTGTCTTAAAAAGCGTCATTACCTATATGAAAGTTCTTTCATAGGGTGAACATTCTTTCCGGGCAAAACAAGTACAAACAATTTGAAACGTAAAACGAAACCCGAAATTTTATTTCCATTTATTGTCAAAAAATCATTTCGTTGCTCTTCAAAATTGAAGAGTTTTGTTCGAATGAAGGTCTGAATTGAATTACAAACTGTTTTCATTGGTTGAAAGTGTTTGTTATGAGTGGACACACTTGACTTAGTAATTTAGACAGATCTACTGTCCTGTGAGTGATTTAGTGACTGGTAGTCTTTGAAGTGACCAGAGCTCATTGTTGTGGAATGTCTATAAGTCAAGTTAATGGACCAATATTGTGACTTGACCATGTGAAACAATGCACATATTGCTCCTATTATTTTCATTAATTCACAAAGCAGCCAATTTGATTTAGAGGGTTCACATTTTTATTAGAATTTTATTTCTAGAATTGTCTTTTGATCTATCAAGCAGTTTAACAGGATTATGTTTCAATTTGTCTAACCAGTTAGTAATTTGTCTTGCATTTGTCTGACTGGACTCTTAATTTGTCCGACAATCCCCAATTAAATGCATTAAAACAGGCATTAAATCCAGTTTTATTATTAAGGCTTGTTTCTAGGAGAAACTTAAAATAAAATTAAAATTCTTCCGTGATTTGTCAGCTGGTAATTTATTTAACAAATAGACGAGTTTAATTCAATTTTTAATTTTTGGACAATTGATTTGTATCTTTCAATGAAGACAATCAAAATTTTCTGTTAATTTGAAACTTTTGGGACTATGAAGTTTTGGGTAAGTGAATATTTTAATAGGTTTTTGTGACCATATATGTGCATAGTACCTAGAGCTGTCAATTATGAAGGTTATTACAATACTTTTTTGGAAAAATTACTTCAGATGTTTGATTGCACATCAAAGAGAGTGGGTGCAGTTGCACTGAGCTCCTGGCAAAGTTCCTTAATGCTGCTCACTGCATATCATTTCCCTTTGCCATTTTCATTAGTCATTTAAATTGGATAAATGATGATAATTAAAAATCAGAAATGATTAGGCAAATCTTCATGACACTGTTTTTAAAAGTGTCTTCATTGCACACAGCATATCCATGCGTATTTTTATTAGCTGATTATATTGTGAAAAAAAGGTGTCAAACTTTAACTTTCATAAAAAATCTTCCAAAGATAATCTATACGGAGGTGTTGACAAGTAGGTTTAATATGAGTCCAGCTTTCAACATTTGATACTAAACTCGTATCTTTTAGACCATAATATTATTATACTATCAGTTCCTGATGGAGATATATGATATATAACAGATTATGAAAGAGATCTGTTCCATACCCATTTTACCTTTGGCCATCTTGAATTACCCTGAGCCTTAAACTCGAGTTTCCAGCTATGTGATTGGTTACTTAATGAAGTAGATTTTGAATTAAATTTTTATTATCCAATCAGATTACTGTATTTTATCTTAGTTAAGTTTTTTTAGACTAAGGCCCTTAAGGACAACCAACCCTCCCCCACCCCTCACCCACCCTTTTCCTTAAAGTGATCTCTGCACCTTATTATTGCTCAAGGTTTGTCCTCTAGTTTCTAATTAGTCAAAACCACCCAAACACTCCTGCTCTCCATAGAAACACGTCTGCTCTCCATAGTAACATGTCTGCTTTCCATAGCAACAACACATGTAACAATAAGCACAATGTAAACAGCATTGATTGTAATAGTTGTCTTAAAAACAAAGGTTTAAAAGAATCAAGTTTTGTAAACCAAATTCTTTTCTAAACCATGTAAATATAACCACTTGTTCAAACTTTTAACACAATTTGTAAAATTTAAAGAATGGTTTAATGTTGCTGTTTTACAATTCAGACAAAGAACTCTCTAGTCTTGAAAAACACAAAAAAATGTGTGTAAATTCAGCTTGGTTATTGAATATGTAAATTATGTTTTTATGACATGCTGTCTTAAGTTTGCTACAGCTGTGGACCACTTCTTTGCGTGGAAATCAAAACTTCCCTCATTTTGCACTGCATGGCATTGCATATATTCCTTAACCCAACTAGAAGTAGAAAAATAGACTAGATGTAAACATGAGTCAAACTTTGAAAAACGATGCATATATCAAACCAAATTCAGACATAAGACTTCAAATTCTTCACTCAAAAAACTTCAGTAGTCTAAACGAGCCGTCAAGCAGGTGGAAAATTCAACTCTACGATCAGTAAATATAAAATCTAACCAGTAAATGAAAAAGTTTATATTTTAATCATTTAATGTTTTATCTGGAAGCGAGTTGCTGCTATCTGTATACCAGGGCTATAAACACGTTGGTATTATCTACCAACATTTCAACAACGATAACATGTTCTCTGACTTCCACAGAAAACAGATTTACAACTTCTATAACAACCATTGAAACAATAACCCTGTTAAAAATACGAAAAATTATCCGTTCTGAGAACAGTTCCGAGAACGGAACAGTTAAAATTTGGTAGTGTAAACTGTCGAGCGTTTTGAATTGAGACAACCGAGGTGAGGTGGCCTCGGAACAGTTCTCAGAATGGAACAGATGAAATTTTGTAGTGTAAACTGTCGAGCGTTCTGAGAACAGTTCCTATGCATGCGTCTTCCCCCTTGTTCTACAATTTCTGTGAGCTGTCGAATTTGACTTCATCAGAGTTATAAGAACATCTAAAATTAACTCTTTTTTGAAGAGTTCAATTAAAATGCATCTGAGAACAGCAGATCATTTACACTATTGTTATAGAACCGTTTTCGGAACGCTTGAAAAGTTGGTAATTTAATAATACATGTATCGTGGCATAGATACATAGATTCACCGATGGATCGTGGCATAGATACATAGATTCACCGATGGAACGTGGCATAGATACATAGATTCACCGATGGATCGTGGCATAGATACATAGATTCACCGATGGATCGTGGCATAGATACATAGATTCACCAATGGATCGTGGCATAGATACATAGATTCACTGATGGATCGTGGCATAGATATATAGATACATAGATTCACTGATGGATCGTGGCATAGATATATAGATACATAGATTCACCAATAGTTTATAATGCGCACCCAAATCGACAAGACCTTGTGCACTGGTCAAGCAAATATATGGTATATTACACACCGGATATACCGGATATAAGCTAAATTTATTCAATTTTAAATCTCATTCAATATATAAGGTTATCATAATCTAATATAATTACAAGTAGACAAAAACACAATAATGGCATTTTTTATAGAAAATTAAATGATCTTAAAAAAAGATGTTTTTTCTGAAGATTTGAAAATTAAATTAAGATTTCAAGTTTTAGTGATTTGAAGAAAACAGCCAGTCGACAGGTGAAATCTTTAATGTTTGTTTAGTCTGACAAATTTTAATGGTTTAAAGATATACTACGTCTTAGAATGAACATAAAATTTAAGTTCTCAAGAATGGTCAGACTCAATATGAGTATATATTCATCAGTGAACTTACCTGGTGTCATAAAGTTTCAACAGAATCCCTGTAAAATCTAGAAAATTGGAAAATTCATAAAACTAAGTCGTTATTGAAAAACTCTTAATCATAATATTCAGTGTTTTTCAATAGTTAATTGCATGTTATTAAGTTTTTTAGAGTTATCAGATTACATAAGTATCCTGTTATGTTATTTATGACACCAGGTATATCTACTGATGAATATATGCTCTTATTGACCAAGTTTAAAATTCTTAAATTTTATGTTTCTTCTAAGACATAGTATCCCTTTAAGATTGACTAGAGCTCATTTTATGGTGCTGGCATGTGTTTCAGATACACAATCTTAAAAAGGAGAGCTTCTTTAGGAAATGGAGACTAACTTTGTCTTATACCTTGACTTCAATAGCCACCAAAGAAAAAAAATTAAAAGAGCTTTTGAATTCGATTATCATATTAATTGGATTAAATTTCAGATGAAACATGCAGTAGAGCTCCACCATTTTGATTTAAGTATGTTTTTGATCTAATTTTAGTGAAATTAAAGTTAAATTTGAAATAAAAACTGAGTAATTTTATCAAAACAAGCAAACAGCTGGATTTTAATCAGATTTTAATGAATTTATTGCCAACAATCTCTTTAGATAATTATTTCTTCTCTCTCTTTTAACATTTCATAATTTTCAACAACTTTTAGCTGGATTTCACCAATATCTAGCTGGATTTCAACAACTATCTAGCTGGATTTCACCTATATCTAGCTGGATTTCACCAATATCTAGCTGGATTTCACCTATATCTAGCTGGATTTCACCTATATCTAGCTGGATTTCACCAATATCTAGCTGGATTTCACCAATATCTAGCTGGATTTCACCTATATCTAGCTGGATTTCACCAATATCTAGCTGGATTTCACCTATATCTAGCTGGATTTCACCTATATCTAGCTGGATTTCACCAATATCTAGCTGGATTTCACCAATATCTAGCTGGATTTCACCAATATCTAGCTGGATTTCACCAATATCTAGCTGGATTTCACCAATATCTAGCTGGATTTCACCTATATCTAGCTGGATTTCAACTATATCTAGCTGGATTTCACCAATATCTAGCTGGATTTCACCAATATCTAGCTGGATTTCACTTATATCTAGCTGGATTTCACTTATATCTAGCTGGATTTCACTTATATCTAGCTGGATTTCAACAACTTTTAGCTGGATTTCAACAATTTTGAGGTTGATTTTTTGAGGTTGATTTCAACAATTTTGAAGTTGATTTCAACAACTTAAGGCTGATTTGAGTGTAAAAATGCCGAATTTCCCTTAAATATTTTTTCAGATTGGAAAATAAACCAAGGCTCTGGGCCCTGTTCCACAATAAAACTCACTATCAATTTTGTTGTGAAGATGGTTTTCCGTAATTGAAGTTTGTGATTATGATGTGAAAGAAAGATTAATTGAATGAGTTTTACTGCTCTGTATAAATTACCTTATTGCACACTGCATAGCTTTGTCTCTAACCCCCTCAACACCAAGGTGGTAGACTATATATGAATTTATTTACTGTCTTCATCAGTAACAAAGTACAATACAGAAGTTCTTTTAATTTTTAACATTGTAGTCAGCTATACTGTAAAAACTGTAGCAGACATTACAAAAATCTGCCTGAATTTTTTTATACTTATTACAATGAGTCTACCAGACAACATGGCATTACTGTGCTGTTAAAATAGGCCACATTGCATACTGCATGGCAATGTCTGTCTACATCAGTTGAATAAAGTCTACATGAATTCATTCAATTTTCAAAATGCAGTCAGTTGTACTGTAAAAAGTGTAGCAGACTTCAAAAATCTGCCTGAAGTTTTTAATACTTATTACAATGAGTCTAGCAGACGGCATTGCTGATTTATGGCAGTAAATTCTCTAGATTACCATCTGGTTACCGTGGTAAACTGTAACCTGGTAACATTTTAACTACCTTCCATCAACTACAGGTGAACTAAATTGGAGATTTTGAGGTCTTGTTAAAAAACATGGCAGAACTCAGAGTTCTCTGAGGGAAATTCATTGAGCTCTACTTTTTTATCTCCAACCACAAAGAGCTCGAAATTGAATATTCTCTGTCATTTCAGAAATATTCGAAATGAAATGTTCCATTAAATTTGGTTAAGAATATCTTCGAACCATAGAAACTTAAGGTTTGGTAATTTAACATGTGAAATAAACACATTTTCTCCCAAAAATTTCAAACTTACATTTGACATAGTGCTCTCTAAAATTGAAGTCAAAAAGGTAAAGAAAAATTACGGTATAGGACCCTGAGATTTTACTGGCCATCAAGAAAAACACAACAAAATTGCTCATTTATTGACGTTTTAAGTTGTTGGATTATGATTCTGTTAAAGGAATTTGGACTGACTATTACAATGGCTTATCAAATTCTTGGTGCAGTCCTTATTGAAGTCATGAAAGTCAAAAAGCTAAAGAGAAATCTGCCATAGGGTTTTATAAGTTATAAGAACAAACCATTCATTGTTAACTCTATATATATAATAGGAGATACTTGTTCACACTGTATTTTGTTGGATTATGAATCTCTAAATGGCTTTTAGACTGATGAATACAATGGACTCTCAAAGTCAAAAGGCTGTAGAATAATAAACCATAGGGTTTAATAAGTTATAAGAATAAACCATTCATTGTAAAATATATATATAACAGGAAGTACTTGTTCATGCTATACCTCTTTCAATCTATTTTTAGTTGTTAAAATAAACTCAGGATCTGTTTTAATCTTCACTTGATAAGACCCTGTATAATTGAAAACAATTTTACATCAATTGACTCAAAATTCTTTCACATTCACTGCTATTACTGACCATAAATTGAATGGTAGAAAATTTAAGACCTTTCGTCTACTGGGGCGTAATTTTTAAATCAACGGTAGATCTTTACTGCTTCTCGGGCAAAATTTCCCTCATTGAATACTGCATAGTGTTGAATTTTTCCTTTGCCCAACAAGTGCTGGAAAATAGTAATTTAGGGCTATTAGGCCCTTTTCTTTGCTATAGGTCAATTTCAGTTCTGCTGCCTTTGCAAAATTTACCTCATTGAATACTGCATAGTCTGTTTTCCATTACTCATCAAGTACCAGAAAATGGGTTAATTCTTCAAATTACTTGAAGTCCCCTCACTCTCCCCAGACATGGCATGTTGTTGAGTATCTGATGCTATTCTGTGACTAAGAATCCCTTTTGAGAGTTCACATAGCTATTAATGTTGTTAAAGTATAGGAATTTGCACTTGATTCTTACAAATTCCCGTGCCTGCACCTGCAATGTCGTAATCACTGGAGTTTGATAAGACATTGTAAGTCAGTACACCACCATTGAAGACAAGTGATTTCTGCTGAATAACCTGTGGCCACCTGACTTTAAGTTTTAAATATTTGGAATAGCCATAGGAATTGGGGTTCTTGAGGACCTTCTCTGTCTTCCAGCTTGTATAGTGGTACATCTTGTCATTGATCTTTCCCGCATTATCTGTACCCATTTATAGCTGGGTCATTTTACATGGTTATGTTCTCAAGGATCCTGTCTTCAGCTTGTCCTGGGACATTATGGGATCTCTGCTACTTATCTGGTGCCATTTATGGTTGGACTGAGTGGAATATTCAAGACTTAGGTTCTCGAAATCCTAAAAAGGACCTTATCCACCATCTTTTCCTTGGTTGCACCTCTAGGCATTGAATGGTTTTGCTTGTCAACTCTTACTTTTACAACTTCTATGGTGGATAACTGTTATGGTTGTGTAAGAAAAATACTTATGCCTTGGCCAGTGCTTCTGAGAGTGACCCTGTATCACCTAAAGAACCATCATTGTCTAGACCTTTTGCTATGTTATGGTTGTGTAAGAAATAAACTTATGCCTCATCCAGTGCCTCTGAGAGTGACCCAGTATCATTAAGAACCATCATGGTGTAGACCTGTTGCTATGTTATGGTTGTTTTGATTTTTGGCAAAGAAGAGTTGTTGGTAGATTCTTATCATACTTGTGGTAGTGTTGTTACAGAGTGGAATTAACAGATATTAACCTGGGTTTACTCTTAGATCTCTAACTTGATCTAAATAAACAAACAAACAAATATCTAACATAACTGTACTGAATACAACTTTATCGACAAGAAAATGTGTCTAATCGTTCAGATGGGACAATAGACTGAGGCCCTGTGAGACGGCATGATCCCTCGACAGTTGGAATTAAGGAAAGTAGGCTAATGCCACTGTCCTGACTTATTTCCCCCATTTCACACTGCTGTTGCCCAATCAGGTGCAGAAAAGTGGGACATAAAACTCAATTCATTGTAATTCCCCATTTATATTTATTTCAATAATTCCCCATTTCCAAACATTGCAATTCCCATTTCCAATTGCAATTCCCCATTTCCAACCATTTCAATTCCCCATTTCCAATCATTGCAATTCCCCATTTCCAATCATTGCAATTCCCCATTTCCAATCGTTGCAATTCCCCATTTCCAATCATTGCAATTCCCCATTTCCAATCGTTGCAATTCCCCATTTCCAATCGTTGCAATTCCCCATGTCTGTACAATTTATTCCCCCATTACAGTCTATTGTTTAATTGATAATATTTAATATAATATTTAATGCTTTTAGTTTATCTTGCCAAATATTTCTAAAATATGCAAATAATTACAGTTATACTGCCAATGTTTATAAACAATAACGCCTATATCTACCTTGTTTACTAAATATTGATCTAAGGTATGCAAATAATTATAGTATTAATCGCTTCATTTACTAATATTTTGACAAAATATGCGCATAATTAATCATTCTCGCCAATATTGATATTGAGAGTGCAAGCAGTTGGAGGTATGCAAACTATTAATATTTTGAGAAAATATGCGCATAATTAATCATTATCTAGCCAATATTGATATTGAGGGTGCCAGTAATTAAAGGAACATTACCAGTATTATTTAGAAATGTGTTTATAATTAGCTGGTAATTGCTGGGAGTCAGTCTTTAATTTGTAACAGGTTTAGTAATTACAGTTGAAAAAGATACTATTGGTTTTTAGTACTATAATTTTGTCAGTATATCAAATTTTGCTGATTATTTTAATGTGAATGGGAATATCAACTTTTAAATAGTTCTGATTTTCTTAGAGAAATTTAGCCTTGAAAAATATGAACATGGGCACATATTATCATTTTTCTTTTCAGTTGAAATTTCTCTAATTTTTTTGTATCTTTCCTGAATAGTCTTTTAAAAAGCAATGAAATGTTTAAGGTGTGTGAAAATACCATAAATTTTAATGATAAATTTTAAAAGGTGTGTAAAGCCATTCCTAGCTAATTATATAAACTTTAAGATTTTAACTTTTAATTCATTGATTCTAACTTTTATGTAATGACTTGAAGATCCTGTCTAACAGCTGTACTTTAAAGATGCACTTAGGGAAGTAGACTTGATCAAATTTTTTATCGTGTGAATAGAGTTCTTAGCATTAAATCCTATTTCTAAACAGGCAGTTTAAAAAAGGCATATAGTCGTCTAAAAATTGTTTTTCTCAATGAAAGAGTTTAATATTCTGTAATTAATCTGTATCACTTTTCAGAATTTGATTTGTGGTTCTCTTACAATTCAATAAAAAGATATCTCTCAAATTTAGACCATTAATGCATTTTAGACCTTCTCAAATGCATTGTTACCTATGGTATATCTCATCAGTACTAATTGGTCTTGAGATTGTTTATATTTAATTGCACACAAGCCAGATGCCAGATTTTCATTCAAAAAAAGAGATATTGATGGCTAAAATGAAACTCAATCATTTAGTAAATGAAAATATTAACTCAAAAATATTCCTTGAAATATATTTGACTTATGGCGCTGATTCGCCTTCCATTTTGAAGCAAGTCTGTTTTCTTCCAGATATTCCGTTTCCTTCCTGATATTCCGATGGAAAATCTTATAGAATGAATTTAATTGATCTATGAACTCCAGACAACTGTGAAATTTTAAAAGTTGAATTTCCAGTCGAGTTAATTTGAATATTGTTTACCACAGTTTTTCACCAATTGATTCTTTCCAGTGAATAGTTTCAGTTAAAATTCTGTAGTTTTTTTTTTAAAGTACATAGTTGGCTTCTTGAAATCA